TCCCTAGGCAGCTTCTAAGAATTTGGCCATGAGAGTGATTTATTCAGGTCACCAACAGCCCCATCTTTTTGCTCAGCCCAATAGACATAAACCCCCAGCCGTTATTGTCTCTGGTGGCCTCCACCCTTCATTTCCCAACACCCCTTTTAAATATTTCTCAACCAATTTCATTTCTTTTCATTTTTCTCTGCGGCCTTAATCCTACAGCCCTGCAAATCTACTCAACTATCTCTGGCACGCAGCCTGTTCCTTCTTATTATTAATAAGACTGAGAATAATGGATAATAAAAAAGAACTTGCTTTCAAAGGGCTCTTGTGCCATCGACCCAGAGCCCCACAAGAACCATACACCGTAAATGGTGACATGCAGAGTGTAAGTGACCTGTCTACGATCAGCAGCTAGTTAGTGGCCGAGCCAAGTCAGGAATCTATTTTAAGTGGTATTATTTATGGCTTATCAGGAAATTATCATTTTAAAAGCTAAGCCAGTGAAAAAGACAGTTGAGATTTCAAAGTGGACCTTTATTACATTTCAAGGGCAAGATTTATTCTCCTTCGTATTGTAATTAAAGTAAATGGAATAAAACTTGGTATTATATTTGCCTTTCCAACAACCTTTTGGAGACACCTGCATTGCTCTACAAAAGGAAAGCCATCTGTTCATGCATCATTGCGTTAAATACCCACTCACTCACTCAGTCTACAATTATGTGTTGCCTGCCTACTGTGTGCCAGGCCCTGGGATCAACACAGGGCACACAGTGGTGAGCAAAACAGATCAGTTCCGGCTCCGTGTGCTTAGAATCTAGTGATGAAGTCAGGTGTTAAACTAACATGTGCACCAAAAATGTGTGGCCAGAAACAAGCTAAGTGCCAGGAAGGAAAGGCACAGAGGCTCTGGTAGCCTCTAAGAAAGGAATCGACCTGGTCCAGAAATTCAGGAAGGGCTTCCTGGTGAAGTATCTATTGCCCCAGGAGACAAGAAGAAATTAACACAGGGAAAAGGACAGGGAAGGGAGAGCATAGGGGAGGTAGAATGTGCAGCGCCCCCTAGTGCATGGACCAAGTAGAGTGCTGTCGGGAATCGAGAGTCGTGGTGGTTGGGGGGAGTATGGTGTGTGACCAGGCAGCACAGGTGGGTGGGGTTAGATTACCCGGTCTTGTGAGCCCAGGCAGGGATCTAGGTCTCTTCCCAGGGAGCAATATAAAACTGCTCAGAACAGGGATTGACCTGATCAGATTAAATCCACTTACATGCTGGGCATTTGGGGTGCCACAGGGAAAAAAATGTTTTAACCCTCAAAGAATTTCCCGTCAGATTCCCTGGCATTAATAAAGCTCTGCTCAAAATTAGGTCAGATTTTTCTCAGAAATATAGGTATCACTCTTGAGCTAACAATGTTTTTTTAAAATATATAAAAGTTAAAATAATAGGCCAGGCACTGTGGCTTATGACTGTAATCTCAGCACTTTGGTAGGCCAAGGTAGGAGGATCACTTGAGGCCAGGAGTTCAAGACCAGCGTGGGCAACATAGTGAGACCCCCATCCCTACTATAAATAAAAAATCCACCAGGCATGGTGGTGCATGCCTGTCATTCTAGCTACTTGGGTGGCTGAGGCAGGAGGATCTCTTGAGCCCAGGAGGTCGAAGTTACAGTGAACTATGATCATATCACTGCACTTCAACCTGGATGACAGAGTGAGATCTGGTCTTTATTTTAAAAAAATAATAATAAAAATATCTACTACCTCCTAAGCATTTGCTGCTTTATGTTTTTACTTATTATTTCATTCAATCCTTGCCTCAAGTTGTGAGCACTGTCACTCCCATTTCATAGATGAGGAAAATGAGGTTCAAGGAGGGATAGTAACTGCCCCAGGTCACATAGCTATGGGCAGATCCAAGGTTCAAACCTAGGACCGTCTGAATGTTGGCTCTGCCATCTCTAGGCTCCATAATCTTGGGGATTTTTGCCCAGAGATTCAAGGACAGCCAACATGACAGGTGTAGAGAATGTGTTCCTCCTGGAATGTCAAAGTTGTCAACGGGCTACACTTTGCCAAAGCCACTGGCCAACTCTTTCCTTGTCTTACTTGACCTTCAGTGCCAGTGAGCAGATGATCACCCCTCCTTCTTATTCCTTGTGGATCAGTGCCTGGTTGTCCTCCTACCCACAGTTATTCCTTCTCAGTCTCCTCTGCCCACTATCCCTTTTCAACTTGACCTTTAATTGTTAAGCTCTACAAAGCTCTGCCCTTGGCTATTTTTCTATCTACAATCCTCTATTTGATCATCTCATCTACCGCAGGACTTTAAACTGGGTCCATAAACTGGTGACAAACCCACGCCTCCCTCCCCTACATCTCCCCTGATCATGTCTCCACACGGGTGTCTAACTGACCCACCAAGTTAACTCTGGGTACCCACCACCAAACTCTTTCCTCCCCTTAACAACTCCCTCTCATTAAATGGCACCTCCTTGTATTTTGTTGCTGAGGCCAAAAGTCTAGGTCTTATCCTTGTCTCATCTTTTTCCGATATGGCTCACCTTCACTCCATTGACAAGCCCTGTTGTTTTGCCTTTCCTTCAAACTATATTCTGACTTCAACCACTTCTTACTACTTCCATAATACCACCTTAGTCCAAGCAACCATTTCGTCTCATCCTGGACTCCTGCAGTTGCCTCCTAACTGGTCTCTCTGCATCCTCCTTCGCCCTCCTACATTCTGTTTTTCAGATAGTAGTCAGAGATGCAGGTGTTCAATTTGTACACTTAAGAGTATGACCTGGGTCCGAATCTTGCCTCAGTCATGGGGCAAGCCACTTAGCCACTTGGTTTCCCCATCTCTCAACCAGGGGTAAAGAAATCTATGACAGTATTGTTTGAGCACAAAGTGAGATGGTGTGTGTATCATACTTAATGTAGTTCCTGGCTTGTAGTGAGTGCTCAAATGTGTTATTGCTACATGCTGCTCAGATTTCCTCACAGGAAGCCTTGCTACATGAACATCAGTTGAAGGGGATGCTGGTCACAAAATGAAGCAATGCCTAATTCACTGTATGTCAGCTTCCTAATTCCTGTCTGGCCTATGGTGGCCACGGAGCATCACTTCCCACCCCATCTCTGTATGCCTGTTGACAGTCAGATGTACACACACACTGGCCTAAGAGCAGACTTTTGAAATGTGAAGGAAGATTGGATTTGAATAGCAGTTTTCTTTGCTTAACAAGAAACCACTCCCTGAAACCACTATCCTCCAGACCCAGATGGAAGCCCTGACATTCAGAAGCTCCAGCTCTGAGATAGGGTTTTGCTGTCACAACTTGAAAGAGCCAAAGGCTTGGCCAAGAGAAGAGGTGGATGTGGCCAAGGGTAGAGTTATGATGTTTGTGCGCTACTATGGAATTTCCAAATTATGAAAACAAAAAAATCTCATTTTATGGAGACAGTAAACCGAAACACCATAGGCTGGAGAGTGCTTGCCCTCTGGTGAGGAATCACAAGACTGGCCCCTGCATTTGCCTTCTCTCCTTCCCTCACCCCTTCCTGGTAAACAGGGGTGAGGCAGCAAAGTCAGACAGACCTAGGTTCCAGTTCTAGCTCAGCCATTTTCTGGCTATGTGACCTGGGACAACTATGAACCCTCTTTGAACATTGGCTCATTTACCTATAAACTGAAATGTAATGATATTATCTATTTCATAAGGAGCTGCGATCATTGTAGAAATAAAAAGCACCATATCTAAAAAGGGAGAGGCGATAAAAGAAAGCAGTTAAGACTACGGGCTCCAGAGTTTGAATCCAGCTCTTCCACTCACTGGCTGTGTGAGCTTCAATGAGTTACTTAATCTATCTGATTGTCTAAACTGTAAAATGGGGATAGCAATTGCTCCTCCCTCCATGATACGTTATGGGCACTAAAGGTGTTAACACACGTCAAGATCCTTGAACGGTGGCTGACACTTAGGTGTCCACTTGTTTTTATTTCTCCCTACTTCCTAGGGCCCACAAGTGACTTGCTGTTACAAAGACCTTGGGTGGAAAGGAAGTCCCCAGATCAGGCAGAAGATAACTCCATTACACACTTCATAATATGAAGGCTCATTGTAATTTTGCTTGATTCCCAGAAAGCTCTGCACCTGTTAGTGAACTAACTCCTGAAAATGAGGCTGCTGGGACCTACATGGAGCAAGTCTTTCCACAGAGCTGTAAGGGAAGACATGCAGATGGACACAGGTTCTGTGCCATTTACTCTTAAGGCGCACTTACCATAACCATGCAAAATGAACTGGCTTCAAACAGCATCTGGCCTCTTGCCTCCAATAGGTTCTCCACTAAACAGCCAAAACAGACTTGGCAGCATTCAGCACTGCCCATCATATTCCTGCTCCTCATGGATCCCGGAGAGAGTCCAAGCCTCTTACCTGGTCTTCAGATTTTCATACAATCTGCCTCCAGCCCCCTTCCCTGATGCTTTCTCTTCATAAGATGTTCCCTCTGCCTGCCCACCCCAAACACATGCACCACTGCCACTCTGGACTACTTACTGCCCCAAATGTAAACCATGGGTTTATATCTTTATGCTTTTTTCCATTTGGTTTGCTCAGTCTGGGTTGCCCATTGTATTTGTCCATTCTCTCAATCCTGTAAAGAAACACCTAAGATTGGATAATTTATAAAGAAAAGAGATTTAATTGGCTCATGGTTCTGCAGGCTGTACAGGAAGCATAGTCACTTCTACTTCTGAGGAGGTCTCAGGAAGCTTCTAATCATGGTGGAAGGCAAAGGGGGAGTGAGGTGTCTCTCATGGTGGGAGTGGGAGCAAGAGAGAGGGAGGAGGTGCTACTCGCTTCCAAACCAGATCTCACGAGAACTCACTAACTATTGTGATGACGGTACCAAGGGAGATGGTGCTAAACCATTCATGAAGGACCATACCCATGATTCAATCGCCTCCCACCAGGCCCCCCCTCCAACACAGGGAATGCTCACTCACCTGTGCACTCAATGCCACTTCATAGGTACAGAGGGTGGTCCCACCATCTGGTGAAAGAGATGCACAGTCAAGATATGGCCAGATGCACGGACGGAACATGTCTAGATGCACAGACATTATGTGGCCAAATGCTCCATGGTACTAGACACAGACAATGGGTTTTCCAAATCCTAGAGGGCTGGGACCACCTGCTATCAGGAGCCGGGGCCTCAGAATCAACAAGAACTGCTTCAGTATCACCCTGTGTTGGTAGGACCCCCCCAGTCCCTTCCTCCCTGTGCTCTATGATAGTGGTGAAGAGCACAAGTGTCATGTCAGACAGAACTGGGTTTAGAAAAACAAAAAAGCAGCTCTGTAACCCTGGGGACATTATTTTATCTGTCTGAGCTTTAATTTCCTTTATCTGTCAAATAGAGTTGATGATGGGACTGATGTCATAAGTTGTTAGAATTAAATGAGTCACTTTGTATAAAGTGCCTAGAATGATGCCAGGCACAGAATCTGTATCCAGTAAGTGGCCACTGCCATTGTGGTTGGAAATACTCTGGCCATTTTTATTCTCCAAATTCCACCTCACATCCAGCCTCTCCATTAGCTGGCACTGTGCAGCATGCATTACTCTCTGTAAGCCGCAGAGTCATTGAATGACTGCCCAGAGAGACAAAGCAAGGTGAAAACTACATCCAATCTTTATGTTCACAGGGACCAGACCAGCAGATGCAGGGTTGGATTGGATTTGGTCATTCGTTTATTCATTCATTCAATTATCCACAATTATGTGTTGAGGGACTCTTGCATGTCAGACCCTGCTCTGGCTCTGGGACCCACAGTCAACAGCACAGAGATGCTCCCTGCCGTGAAAGAACCCACCTTCCAGAGCAGTGCTCTTCATTAGAAATCCCACGAGCACATATGTGACTATATTTTTCTTGTGGCCGCTTTTTTAATAAGGTGCAAGGAAGCTTAATGATATATTTTATTTAGCCCAGTATATCCCAAATACAATCATTCTGATATGCCATCAATATTAAAAATTAGTAACTGGATACTTTACATTCTCTTCTGTGCTAGGTCTTCGAAACCCAGTATGTATTTTTCACACACAGCCCATTTCAGTTTAGACTGGCCACAGTTCAGGCACTCAGAAGCCATACGGCCTACATCTTGGACAGAGATGCTCCCTTGTGTATGTGAAACAGGATCATCTAGTTTTTTAAATTTTTTATTTTAGTCAGTATATTGAAGAGATATCTTCACTTCTATGCTTATTGCAGCATCATGCATAATAGCAAACTTTTAGAAGTAACCTAAGTGTCCGTTAACAGATGAATGGATAAAGAAAATGTGGTACTTGTACACAACAGAGAGCCATAAAAAAGAATCAGATCCCATCACTTCCAACAACATGGATGGAACCAGAGGTCATTATGTTAACTGAAACAAGCCAAATACAGAAAGACAAACATCACATCACCTCACTTTTCTGTGGGAGCTAAGAATGAAAACAATCGAACTCATGGACATAGAAGTAGAAGAATGGTTACCAGAGGCTGGGAAAGGTAGTTAGTGGGGACAGTTCATGTAGTTAATGGGTACAAAAACATAGAAAGAATAAATAAGACCTAGTATTTGCTAGCACCACAGAGTGACTACAGTAAAAAATAAAATAAAATAAAATTTGTTCATTTAAAGATAACTAAAAGAGTATAAATGGATTATTTGCAACACAAAGGATAAATGTTTGAGGTGATGAATAGCCCATTTACTCTGATGTGATTGTTATGCATTGCGTGCCTGCATCAAAATATCTCATGTACCCTGTGAATATGTACACCTACAACGTACCCACAGAGATGAACACATTTTGTTCTCCCACAATCCACCCCTGCAAAGCTTTCACTGTTTTTCAAATCAAATCTAGGCAACAGGCAAACCTGGCTGCAGCCCCCAGCTCTGCTAATGATTAGCTGTGAAAATGTGAGCAAGAGCCTTGTTTCGTTTGATTTCCTGGGGCTGCCGTTACAAAGTACCATAAAGGGGTGGGGTACTTAAAAAAACAGAAATTTATTCTCTGACACAAACTGAAAGTCCAAAATCAAGGTGTTGGCAGGGCCGTGCTCTCTCTAGAAGCTCATAGAGAGAACCCATTTCACCCTGTTCTCTTAGCTTCCAGTATTGCCAGAAGTCCTTGGCATTCCTTGGCTTGTAGATGCCTCCCTGTGGTCTCTGCCTCCATCATCACAGAGCATTTAAATTTGCATTTAAATCTTATCTCTTATTGTGATTTTTGTCTCCCAGAAAAGAAGGTTTCCGGCATCAGTAGGCAGATAGAAAAGCATCATCTCAGGGGCAGGGTGGGGTGAGTGGGAGAGGGCACCCTCCTTGTGTGTCAGCAGATGCTAGCTACTGGAATCACAGCAAGTCACTTATCCAACAGCTGAGTGCTGGTTGCTGGGGACAGAGTGATGAACAGGATGTGGTCCATCCAGGTGCTGGGATACAGCATGAAGAGATTGCAGATTCACCTGTGCGTCTGTATCCTCAGGTGGCATTCTCCTCTCTGTATCTCTTCTCTTCTTAAAGGACGACAGTTATATGGGATTAAGGGCCTGCCCTACTCCAGCATGACCTCATCTTAAATTGCATCTTGATTATATTTGCAAAGACCCTATTTCCAAACGGGGTCACTTTCACAGGTAGCAAGGGTTAGGACTTCAACCTATCTTTTTGGGGTACACAATTCAAGGCACAACACAGGGTTATTGTGAGGATTCAACAATCCACTGTGTGCAAATGCCCTGACATTTCAAAGAGGCTCCTTTTCTAGGCTACTTTGGATTTTCTCTGCCGGCGTCTTGGCCACTAGATCTGTGATTGGCCCTATGGCTGACAACAGCCATCTCTGGCAGCTCCCATCACTCCCAGACTTGCCAGCTTCAGGGTATGTGACTCAAACTAGAAATGCACAAGAGATGACTCCCCACGGAGCAAGCTTGGCCTTTGGGGGACTCAAAGTGGGAAAGAAGTGGAAGAGGTGTTTGTCCTCCTGTAGAGCTCTGCTCAGAGGACAGAGGTCCATAAAGGTTCTTTGTGACTGTCCAGCAAGATGGAGCAACCTACACAGCTGCTGCAGAGCTGTGGACACAATAATGCATTCCTTCCCGTCACCCTCCTCCTTCACCACCGCACACGCACACCCTTTCTCTCGAATCTTCTTCCTCGACGTTGCACTCCCTCCCGCCACCCCAACCCCAGTTTGTGCATATGATCTCTCAGATTTGCTTTTCTAAAGTACCTGGACTAAGATATTCATAAAGGGAAGTTCTGTTACCTTTCCAGATTCAGCCAAATGACATCACCTTCACCCCCACTCCGACCCCAGTTCCTTCAGGCTCCCAGAACAGCCTGAACACTTACATCTATATTAGCACTTAGCAGATCACCATTAGTTGCTTCCTTGCCTGCCTCCCCCACCCGTCTCTGGCCCCTGCCATGAACTGCAATCTCCTCATGCTGTATCCCAGCACCTGGATGGACCACATCCTGTTCATCACTCTGTCCCTAGCATCCAGCACTCAGATATTTGATAAGTGACTTGCTGTGATTCAAGTAGCTAGCATCTGCTGACACACAAGGAGGGTGTCTACAAAATCTCTCCCATTCACTTCCACCCTGCACCTGAGATGACGCTTTTCTATCTGCTTAGTGATGCCAGAAACCATCTTTTCCAGGAAACAAAAATCACAATAAGAGGTAAGATTTACTTTGGGGGACCGAGGCGGGTGGATCACGAGGTCAAGAGATCAAAACCATCCTGCCATCCTGGTCAACATGGTTAAACCTCATCTCTACTAAAAATACAAAAATTAGCTGGGCATGGTGGCACATGACTGTAGTCCCAGCTACTCTGGAGGCTAAGGCAGGAGAATTGCTTGAACCCAGGAGGCGGACGTTGTGGTGAGCCAAGATCATGCCATTGCACTCCAGTCTGGGTAACAAGAATGAAACTCCGTCTCGAAAAAAAAAAAAAAGAGAGAGATAAGATTTAAATGCAAATATTGCTAAAAGAGAAAATGTAAGTCCTTAAATTCTAACTAAGGTATAAATGACTAATAAAATGGTTCTTTTCTGATAGGGGCTGGGGAGTCATGGGGTGGTGGAGGTGAAGGGACAAAGCTAGGGCAGAGGTGGCTAGACCAGGGCATTTTATTCTTACATAGAATCAACACCATGCTGCCAGCCAAAGAGACAGCTACCTTCTGGGGGCAATCTGAAGGGTGAAAAGTGCCTCTTCCTCAAGTTAGCTCTACCATTGTTCTGCTGTGTGCCCCAAACTCCCACTTCTCCATGGATCAAGTGTGCAATGCAATGAAAGAAAGCTCACAAAGCCAGAACACCTGATTCTCTCACTGGCATTTCCATCTGCTACTGTAGGATCTTGCAAAGCCTTTATTCACCCTCTCAGTTTCTTTAAACATAACATTAAGATGATTAAGACAATGATACATTCTCTGGCTTATTTACAGGGTCGTTGGAAAAATCAAATGAAGTCACACATATGAACCTGCCTCCCAGTATGTAAAGTGATTTGCACATATAAGGCATGTATGTATGTATGAATGTATGTATGTATTTGAGACATGGTCTCTCTCTGTTGCCCAGGCTGGAGTGCAGTGGTGTGGTCATAGCTCACTGCAACCTCCAACTCCTGGGCTCAAGCAATCATCCTGCCAACTCCTGGGCTCAAGCAATCATCCTACCTCAGCCTTCCAAGTAGCTGAGACTACAGGTGAGAGCCACCACACTTGGCTAATTTTTTGTACTTTTTGTAGAGACAGGGTCTCACTATGTTTCCCAGGCTGGTCTCCAACTCCTGAGCTCAAGTAAACCTCCCACCTCAGCCTCCCAAAGTGCTGGGATTACAGGTATGAGCCACTGTGCCCAGTCAAGATAGTCATTAGTTTTAGAACTGTGGTGAGGATCTTTATTCATAGAAGCCTGGAGCTCTCAGGGAGGGGAAAGTCAAGGGGCAGAAATCTAGCTCTCTCTGCGTGCCTCTTAACCACTCACCCCCATGGGTGCCATTCTGCCTCTAGGCTTCTGGGGACCAGGAGTCCCTTTGCCCCTCAGGCAAAGGGGAGCTGTCACTATTTCCCTGTGTGCTGTCACCCAAAGCTCCTGTTTCCAGCCCCCACAACCCCAGGAGAATTTGAGCTCTAGGCCTTTCTCCCAGAGTCAACAGGCTCCCCCAAAATGACCAAAACTCTGCCTGAATTGGAAGCTAAGGAGCACTCAGTTCTTACCTCAGTTTTAACTTGATGGGGTATTTGCTAGACGTATGCTTTCCTCTTTGGGGGAAAGTTTTAATGAAGAAATCTGAAAAGTGAAGAGGACCACAGTGTAAAACCAGAAAAGTAAAAGCCACAGCAGTATCTCCTCCCAGGGGGTGTTTCTGTTCTCTCCAGGAAGCACCCCGAAATCTAAATTTTTCCTTTCCAACTCTGCATTCCTCCTTGTGCACTGCCATTTCTGCACTTTCAGTGAGTCAAGGCAGTTACAAAAGCCTGCCCAGGTTCAAGGGGAGGGAACACAGACCCCCCGCTTCAATGCAGGTATATCCCATTATAAAAATGTCCATAGTGTAAGAGCAGCGTGAAGGATGGGCTGTATGTTGCTGTGGCTATCTTTGGAAAATACTATCTACCACACTGACTCTTTAATGATGGGGAAGAAATTTTCATTAAAAGCTATTAACTCAGGCTAAAATATAAAACAGAAAATAGTGAATTATTATAAACATTCATACTGCAAGAAAATAGCATGTTTGCCCAAGCATCCCCTTAGAATACATTTTGATAATGGTAATAGCAATTTACTAAGAGCTTCCCAGCTATAAAATGTCTCCCCATCATTACCTCCTTTCATCCAGCATTGCTGTGAAACAAGTACATCCACTTCCCAGTTAGAGAGACTGAGGCCCACAGCAGTACCTCACCCTGGCTCACACATTTGTTAGTGTGAGTTTTAGGGATTCAGTCCAAGGCTTCTGACTCTGATTATGGTTTCCTGTCCATATCTGACAAGCAACCAGTTTGAGTGGCATTTAGAATCCATTTCATAGACTTTGAAACTAAATACAAAATGTTCAGACTAGTTTTGAACAGCCTGGCTGTGACTTTCCCGCAGTTTGAGTCTGAACAAATCACTTTCCTCTCTGAGTTGCAGTTTCACTGACTGTAAATGCAGAAGATTGTACTAGAGGAATTGAAACTTTTTCCACTTAAAGAAAAATGTAAGCAATCACACCCTTTCTCCAGGAAAAATCTTATATGAGGATTCCTACTCTATGAAACATCTGTTCAAAAATAGAGCTGCCCTGCCCACTAAATCTAAGAATGCAGCCAGCCACCTCGTGACCCTGCAACACCACTTTGGGTATATACCTGACAGAAATGTGTCCATTGTCCCCAGAAAGGCTGTGCAAGGGTGTTCATAGCAGCTATGTTCATAACACCAAAATATGGAGACAACCTGGATGCCAATTAAAAGCGGAAAAGCTAAATAAATTCTGGTATAGTCACACAACAGAATACTACACAGCAATGAAAAAAAGTGGACTCCTTCTACATGCAACAACATAGATGAATCTCCTGGACACAATTTTGATCAAAAGAAGTTAGACACAATGAATGCATTCTCTACGATTCCATTTATTTGAGTTCAAAAATAGATAATATGAAAATGGTGGTTCTCTTTGGTTAGAGCACTGATGGGAGAGAACAAGAGAGAACTGCTGAGACTTTAGAAAGATTCTTTATCTTGATCTGGGTAGTGGTTACATGGGTGCATAAGTTTACAGAAACTCATCAGGCTTTATTTTTTTTATTTTTTTTTTATTTATTTTTTTGAGATAGGGTCTTACTCTGTCACCCAGGCTGGAGTGCAGTGGCATAGTCAGAGTTCACTGCAGCCTCAACCTCATGGGTTCAAGTGATCCACCCACCTCAACCTCCTGAGTAGCTGAGACTACAGATAAAAGCCATCATTCCCAGATAATTTTTGTATTTTTTGTAGAGACGAGGTATCGCCATGTTGCCCAGACTGGTCTTGAACTCCTGAGCTCAAGCCATCTGCCCCACCTCAGCTTCCCAAAGTGCTGGGATTGCAGCCTTGCACCACCATGCCCAGCCTCATCACACAAATTGAGATTGATGTGCTTTGTTATATATAAGTTGTACCTCAACAACAACAAAAAGGGTAAAAAGAAAAATGGAATTACTTTGGTTGCTGTATACCACAAGATCTTGAAGACCCCTCTCCATCCCACTACCTCTATCCATTCATACTGTTGAAGGACTGACTCTAAGCTTCCATGGGGTACAGTTTAAAAGACCATCAGACTAGACCATGTCTAAGGAACTCCCAGCCCTGACAGTCTGTGATTCACCTTTGGGGTTCAGATTCAACTGCCTTTCCCTAGAAACCATCTGATATGGTTTGGATCTGTGTCCCCACCAAATCTCATGTGGACTTGTAATCCCCAGTGTTGGAGGTGGGGCTGGCGGGAGGTGATTGGGTCCCGGTAGCAGTTTCTCATGAGTGGTTTAGCACCAGCCCCTTGGTGCTGTTCTCATGAGAGTGAGTGAGTTTTCACAAGATCTGGTTGTTTAAAAGTGTGCAGCATCTCCTCCCCTCACTCTTTCTTGCTCCTGCTCCTGCTCCTGCCCCATGAACCACCTTGTCCCCCACTTTGCCCTCTGCCATGATTGGAAGCTTCCTGAGGCCTCCCCAGAAGCAGAAGCTTCTTTGCTTCCTGTACAGCCTGCAGAACTGTGAGCCAATTAAACCTTTTTTCTTTATAAATAACTGAGTCTCCAGTATGCCTTTACAGCAGTACAAGAACAGACTAAGACATCGTCCTACAGGTGACAGCTGTTTCAAATGTCCAAATCCCCACTCTATGGTTACCTTATCTCACCCTGTTCTTGTCACCTTCTTCCTCACTCTCTGATGCCCAAAGCCCACACACTGACCCCAGGACCACAGCCTCCTACTCAATCATCCTTAAGCATCACCATCTGCTCCCAAGGTCCCACAAGGGCCCCTGCAAGCTTACCTCCTAGTGTGAGCACAGGCTCCAGAGTCCACCCACCTAGTTTCAGACCCTGGCTCCCCTACTTATAGCTGGATGAGCTTCTTATCTGTACATTGAGGTTGGCTAATAGTACATATCATTGAATTGTTAGAAAGATTAATTAAGATAGTACCATGGCAAGCACTTCACACAGTATCTGATGCATCCTAAGTGCTCAAGAAGTGTTAGCTAGTATTCTCATTGTTGTTATCCATCCTCGTCCTATTCTGTTATCACACACTCATGGTTCAAAGAGAGACAGCTTTTTAAAATTCAACAAGGCTAGACATGGTGACTCATACTTGTAATCCCAGGACTTTAGGAGGCTGAGGTGGAAGGATCACTTCTTGAGCCCAGGAATTCGAGACTAGCCTGGGCAACATAGTGAAACTCCATCTATATTTAAAAAAAAAAAAAAATTAGCCAGGCATGGTGGCATGCATCTGTAGTCCCAGCTACTTGGGAGGCTGAGGTAGGAGGATGGCTTGAGCCCAGGAGGTTGAGGCTACAGTGAGCTCTGACTGTGCCACTGCACTCCAGCCTAGCCAACAGAGTCCCTGTCTCAAAAAATAATAATAATAACAATAATCTAGTAAACTGTTTAACACAGCTTTGCTGGACATCCTCCTCACAGCTTTTTTTGAGTAGACTTTGTGTTGTATGCTCAAAGTTACACAAATAATCAAGGCTGGAGACAAAATTTAAATTTGAGCCTTACTGACTCCAAAGCCTGTCGTCTGAGCCTCCATGCTATTTGCTTAAGAAACTGTGTAATGGAGTTGATGGAGAGGGTACTTAATCTAAAGGAGTGAGCATCTGCTGGGGCCACTAGTATGACAGAAAGGATTAAGAATCAGATCTGGGTCCAGATTCTGGGCTATGTGCTTTACCAGCTTTGTGGATTTCCACTAATTGCTTTAACTGCTCCAAGCCTCAGTTAGCTCACCTGTAAATTGAGACACCATTGTGGAAGGCATTAAATGAACTTTATAATATAGCCAAAAATTTAAAAAAGCTAACCCTGGGGATTTCCAGCATCAGGTGATGCAGATGAAGAGTGATCTGAGGAAGGGAACATACATTTCATCCATGCTTCAGCCAGATCTCCCTCCAGTTCAAAACAGAACCCCTCACCCAAGGACAGCCCCTCCTATGACTGGGGATTTTTTTAAAAATCAAATGATGCCAAAGTGCAAAATGTTAACTTTGTGGTTCTGGTCTCTCTTCCTCTGTTGTCAGTTTAAAAACCGTTGCTAAAAACTAACATCCCCTCCCACCCTATCTTCCTCTTCTTGTTCGCAAGACAGAGCCTATCAGAGAATTCAAGGCAGTTTTGCTTTCAAATGGCCCATTTTTCTGATTCCCTCTTCCTTCTCAGCCTGAGCTCAACATGAATTTCCCTCCCTACCTCATTCTGCTCTACAGACACAGCTATGCCCTTCGTGAGGGCAATTCAGGTGACACTCTAGACGCTACGATTTTACAAATCCCAGATTGCAGCAAGAAGCAGGTAGCTGAAGTAAATTCTTAGAAGGAATCAGAAGGGGAAAAGAATTTGGCCATCAGTGTGCGTTTAACAATGCCAGAAATTCATATACACCCCATTGAAACATAATCCTTCACAGCCTCCAAGAGGTAAGCGAAGTAGTCCTTTTCTCTTGCTCACTTCCACATAACTTGCTGAGGCTACAAAGTCTTTTGGCAACATTCACTTTGTCATCTTTAACGTGTTGCTTTTAATGACCCACATAATGAGATTGCACCTCTCCAGGCCTGAATAAAAGTCATCCTGTGAAGTGGGAATCTTCAAGGAACCGGGAAGAGTACAGCCTTTCTGGAAGGGCATTTTGGCTGAGAATTAAATCTTTAAAAGGCTGATATCCAATAACTACAATTGAACCTAGTTTATCAAGAAGTCTTCCACTAACCACTGTTTCAAACACAAAACTGCCATCAACTGTGTGTTCTCAAATCCCCTTTAATGGTGCTTGACATCATCTTAGTGCAACTCCATTTATTTCCAGTTATTAAGGATTATTCAGTGACATTTTTGTTTCTGTTGGACTCAGTCCCATGCATTTCAAAGCTTGAAACTTGTTTTCAGGTAATGACTCTCTTTTCCTCACCATCCCCAAACACATACACAAACCTAGACTTGAGTTTCTAAGCCACTTAAGGGGGTAGGGAGTGGGGGGGGTGGCGAGTATGGTCTCTTCTCACCACACCATCTCCTCTGCACATGCCCCCTGGTGTTGGGACAGGATGGAAGGAGGGAAGGACAGAGACATCTCCTCATTTAGCTGATTATGATGAGGAGCTGATCCTCTTTATTTCAGTGGTTACTGTTTCCTGGATAATGCAGACTGGGCTTTGACTCCTTCTGTGTGGCTCCTTCACGGGACTCATCCATTGAGTTCTTTGCAGAATGTTGTAAGGCCATCCCCTGCATATTCACCTACATGGGTGGCCTGGCTAGGGCTCCAGCTGCTTCCTTTCCTTTTCATCTCCAACCACAGTCTTCCCCATACTTTCCTTCTGTCAGGGGCATCTCATCCAGTGGGCAACCCACTTGGGGCATATTGGCAGAACAGCTCAAGTCCTACTTCCCAAGGCATTCCCTCGACCCAGGGGAAATGTATGTGTCCTTGCCACACCTGAGAAGCCACAGACCCCTATATCCATGTCCTAAACAGCATCAGGTGCTCCTGCTGATCCAAGACTCAAAAAAACATCAAAGGAAAAATACCAGACCTCAAATTAATGGAGTCAGACACTGGAAGAATAGGAATCCCAACTTATCAAATAATTCTTCTGGCTTTAGGGTAGGAAAATACTCATACCTGCTTTTTCTCTTGCATGGGGAAGTGATGAGAAAAGTCCTATATAAAGGAATTAGTAAATAAATAAATTCTATGGATGTATTCACAGAGTTGATGGATTATTTTAATGGTATGATATGTTAAATGAAAAGAGCAGTGTAGCAGATTGTGTTTTCCAACATGGCAGAAACATCACCACCTCTCTCACAGGCTCTCATTACAATGTGGCCTTGATAATCCTATCAAATGATGGGATCTATGTCACCTCCCCTTGAAGCTGGGTAGATCTTAGTGTCTGCCTTAACCATGAATAGTGTGGTACTAACATTATGTGACTTTCGATGCTGACTCATTAAAATGCCATGCACTTTCACCTTGCTCTCTTGAGATGCTCACTCTTTGGACCCAGCCACCATGAAGTGATGAGGCCCAAGGCACCACGTGGACAGGCCATGAGTAGTTGTTTCAGTGGATGGCTCAGCTGACATCTCAGCTGATGACTTATGTCAACTGCCAGGCATGTAAGTGATGACTCTCCTAATAATTCTAGCCCTCACCTATGAAGCCATCCCCAACCTCTGCATCTCCCCATCTGAGGCCCCAGACATCATTTAACAGAAACAAGTGATTCCACCATGATCCTCTCAAATCCCTGATCTGCAGAATCTGTGGGAATAATAAATGGTTGTTGCTTAACCTTTAAGTTTGGAATTATTTGTTATGCAGTGATAGTAACTGAAACAAACAAGATACCAAATTGTCCATAGAGCATGATCCATGTATTTCATACATAGATAGTAGGGTGAAAAATATTTAACACTGACTGCAGATGCCTTAGTCTTCTAAGAGGAGAAGCATGGTTCATATTAATGAGAAAATAAATCTCTATCAGACTCTATTTCATTTACAAAGACTGGTGGAGAGACATGAAGAAAATAAGAGAATTTCAAAGCCTCCACTTTTTCTTCTTGATTAATGATGACTGAAACTCAGAGTAAATGACCCTTGGTGTGAATGATGTCAATAATAGGTTTTTATATATACAAAGGAGGTCTAGGGCTGTGTAGGGGCTGTAGAGCTAAACTGCCTTCTAGGATAAGTGAGAGAATTTGAATGTTTTAGGGCCAGAAAAGGCAAACGACAAGGTGGAAGGCTGGAATCTTTCAAGAAAAGTGGTCAGTGAGAAAGATGCTCCCACACCAAGGTTGTTAAGGGACTTTTCAGGAGCGAGATATCTAAGATCTAATTTTATCTCTTTTTTTAATTTGTAAATTTTTTCTTCCTTCTAAGGAAAGCAACACTAATATGATCTATTTTAAACTCTTGGCATTTTTATAATTTTTTAAAATCCCTCCTGAGTCCCCATACCTTGAGTAAAGTTTGCTAAGTGTACATTTCTTGGGAGAAGATCCTAGTGGAACAAAACACAGACGCCGAGTTTGACACGAAACTCGGTGCCTTGCGCAGGGAGGGCAGGGTGCCATCCCTTTATGTGAGACCATGGATCCAGAGCTCCTCAGGGGTGGACACAGAATGCAAGAGCTGTGGGGACATGGCTTCCTCTACGCAGATTTTGAAGGATGTCTCAGATAGATTGGAAGCCCAAGCCAGGACTTTTCCTCAGGGGCAGAGTCACTGCAGAGAGCTCCCACTAAGGCAATGTCCAGCAGAAATTTGGGGTCAGAGCTGCTGCAGAAAGTCCCTAATAGTCTTAGTGGAGCCATGAGGATAAGGCCATCCCCAAGGCCCCATAATGGTAGAGCCACTGTGATCAGATAACAGCCTGGGAGAGCTGCAGGCATGAGATTTCAACCCATGAAAGCTGCTGAGCTCTCCCTAACCCCCTGTAAAGCCACAGGGGAAGGGTTGCCCAAGGTGTTGGGGGCCCAACCCCCATGCCATTATAGCCAAAGGTAGGACACTGGGTCAAAAAATATTATTCTTAAGACTTAGGATTCAGTATTATTCACCTTATTGGGTTTTGAATTTGCCTGGGACTTGTTTCTCCATTCTTCTTTCCCATTTCTTCCATTTGGAATGGGGATGTCTATCTTTTGCCTGTTCAGCCAACGCAGTTTGGAAATATTTTGTTTGGTTTCACAGGCTGACACTCTTCTTCCTCATTTTTTCCCCCAGAAAAAATTTCCCTTTTATAAACTCTTGGGGCATTGTCTAGTCTAGGGATTGGTAAACTGTAACCTACAGGCCAAATGCAGGCCATTGGCCCAAACTGTTTGTTTTTATAAGTAAAGTTTTACTGGAACAAACCCATGCCAATTAATTAGCATATTATCTATGGCCATTTTTTGCCATAATGGCAGGGTTGAGGGCTTGTAACAGAAAGAGTATTGCGGCAGGCCAGGTCTCCATTAGCAACCAGAGAAGTTAGCCTTCACCAATACCTTACTGTCACTCTGATGAATGTATAAGTTAAACATTAAAGAACTGGAGAAACTGGTGCCTTAGTACAAAAGTTAGAATGTAAAAACAAGTCCATTAAGACCCCACCGGAGCTTTCTCAGACCTTAGAGTTAAATTAAAATAATGGAGTGTTCTTGCACACCTTGTACCAGCATCTACTTTAGATTAAGTGATTGTTCCAAGCCTCTGAAATAATTTTCCAGACCCCAGGCCCTACATGTAGTCATATGGTTTTAATTAATATACGTGTCAGAGGCATTTAAGCCAGAGTGACTCTATCTTGAATGGGGGCTAGATAAAATAAGTCTAAGGCCTGCTGGGCTGTATTCCCAGGATGTCAAGGAATTTAGTCACAGGACAAGATATACGTCATAAAGACCTTGCTGATAAAACAGGCTGCAGTAAAGAAGCCAGCCAAAACCCACCAAAACCAAGATGGTGACGTGAGTGGCCTCTGGTCGTCCTCACTGCCACACTCCCACCAGCACCATGACAGTTTACAGATGGCATGGCGATGTCAGGAAGTTACCCTACATGGTCTAAAATGGGGAGGCATGAATAATCCATCACTTGTTTAGCATGTCATCAAGAAATAACTCTAAAAATTGACAACCAGCCACCCTTGGGGCTGCTCTACTTGTGGAGTAGCCATTCTTTATTCCTTTACTTTCTTAACAAACTTGCTTTCATTTTACTCCATGGACTCGCCTCAAATTATTTCTTCTGTGAAATCCAAGAACCCTCTTTTGGGGTCTGGATTGGGACCTCCTTCTGGTAACATAAGCACTGGAGAAAAACTTGTAACTTTGAGTTGGTGTGGTGAGTTACTGGGACTTTCTCCTTGTAACCGGTTGCAGAAATGAACTCCCTTCTTTCCTAGTCTGCCTGCATCTCGTGATTGGAGTGTAAGAACAGGCAGTGGGGGCTCGTTCTGTCCGGGAACAGTGTGACTCATACACTGTTTAAATATTTACTGTCGGGCCCTTAAAAAAAGTTTAGAATGGCGATCATTAAAAAATCTGGGCCGGGCGCGGTGGCTCACGCCTGTAATCCTAGCACTCTGGGAGGCTGAGGCAGACGGATCACCTGAGGTCGGGAGTTCAAGACCAGCCTGACCAACAAGGTGAAACCCCGCGTCATTAAAAAGAAAAAAAAAGAAAGAAAAAAAAATCTGGAGACAACAGATGCTGGAGAGGATGTGGAGAAATAGGAACACTGTTACACTATTCGTGGGAGTGTAAATTAGTTTAACCATTGTGGAATACAGTGTTGCAATTCCTCAAGGACCTAGAAATAGAAATTCCATTTGACCCAGCAATCCCATTACTGGGTATATATCCAAAGGATTATAAATTGTTCTACTGTAAGGACACATGCCCACGAATGTTCATTGCAGCACTATTTGCAATAGCAAAGACCTGAAACCAACCCAAATGCCCATCAATGACAGACTGGACAGGGAAAATGTGGCACATATACACCATGGAATACTATGCAAAAACGATGAGTTCGTGTCCTTTGTAGGGACGTGGATGAACCTGGAAACCGTCATTCTCAGCAAACTGACACAAGAACAGAAAATCAAACACTGCATGTTCTCACTCATAGGTGGGTGTTGAACAATGAGAACACACGGACACAGGGAGGGGAGCATCACACACTGGGGTCTGTAGGGGGAAAATAGGGGAGGGACAGCAGGGGGTGGGGAGTTGGGGAGAGATAGCATGGGTAGAAATGCCAGATAATAGGTGATGGAGAGGAAGGCAGCACATCACACTGCCATGTGTGTACCTATGCAACAATCTTGCATGTTCTTCACATGTACCCCAAAACCTAAAATGCCATTAAAAAAAAAAGAAAAGCAAAAACCAAAAATTCAGACTTGCAAAAAAAAAAAGTTTACTAACCTGTAGCTAATCTATGCTTCTCAAACTTGCACAAGATCCAGGCTGAGATCCAGGTAGAAGATAGCAGAATCCACACAGCCAACGTTGTGTATCTTCTTGGAGCATCAATTTTACTAGAAGACTAGGAAGAAAAAATAGTTAACACACTCTAAATGTAGACATTTAATAGACATTAAAGCAAACACATTTATATTATGGAGTAGAATCCAACATTTTGAATGAAATTATGAGTCAAAATTCCAAATGTGACCCAAATTTCAAGCATGGGGAGGCCTCTACACATTGTTGATGTTCCTTTACTGTTACAAATATTTTTGTAAAAAATTTGAGGAAACACCCATGTATGCTATTTAATTTGTGGTGCAAGTGTTGCAGAATTTTGCTCCTTAGTTCAACTAAAACTGGGTTCTTGTCACACAACCAGGAAAGATGACGTGCACGGACATGTTGAAGTGTGATTAGAGAGAAATTTATTGGGCAAAAAGAAAAAAAAAAAATGTGTGCAAAGTCAGAGGGGATCCTGCCAGTGGGCTCCCAGCTCACAGACTGAACCAGGCCACCACACAGGAACTGAAGAGGCCGGGCTCCTCCCTCTTGCAAACGGTGGGAACTTTTCCTGGCTCCACCCCATTGTCCCAGTGCGCAGGCCAGTCAGTCGGCGATTTCCCGGGAGACCCCTTTCTATCTGCCTAGGCACTTGGCCATCCCAGAAGTAGGTATCTTCTGAGTCTTTGTATTCTCGCCACTTCTGGAACAGTGCTTGAGCATAAGAACTCCAGAAGGGCTGGCATTATTTATTAACATAAATCCTAAAAGGTCTTTACCTGTCAGAATGGCTTAGTGGAGTTCTGCATGTAGGCAGAGGGATACACCAGATGACTCTGCCTGCAGAGGTCTCATACACTGTGGTTTATTAGTACCTGTACTGTCACTATGGCAACAAAAAGTCTCATAAGATCTAGTTAAATTAATATTCACAGTAATGTTATCACTCATATAAAATTCAAATTAGTTCTGCCTGAGCTAAAGGCAGAACCAATCTTTATATGAATGAACTAGTGATAACCTCATTGTTTTGTTTTTTTTTATTTGCCTTTTTTTCTTTTCCTTTAATTTAATATAACCGATTTATGTATTTTGTAGGGGAATGAACATATTAGAAAGTTTACCGTGTCCCTGACTATTGACCCAACCCCTATTACCATCCCACCCCATATCCCTCACCCCAAAGCATCTCTCTGACTTCTGAGATCTGAACAATCACTGTTGCATAAAACAGTGACCACTGGGTTTTGCTGTCTGTTATTGTTTACTTTTTTTGTTTTTGAATGCAAATGTGCCTAGGAAAGAATAACATGTAAAGTTACCAATCTCTCTTGGCATTGGTTAGGGTGGGGTGGAGAAAGGCAGTTCTAGCCTCTGACTCTGAGTTAGATCTGAGGCCAAACCCCAATTCTGCCATTGAGTTGCTGAGCTACTCTCAGTAATTACTTGCCACTGATGCACCTTCATTTTTCTTTCCTGTAATATGAAAGCTGGAAACTGAGTGTTCTCCAAGAGCTTTTCCAGCTGTAAAATTCTACAGTTCCAGGCAGCATAATTAATGGAAGATCAAGGACACAACCACATGGATAGAAACTCAAAAAGATAAGCCTGATCGGAAAAGATTAGTTACAGAATAACTTGTACTGCATAAAACCACTTTAACTTTTTAATTTAATTTTTGGAATAGGTAGCATAGTCCATCCACATGGACTATCTCAAAAAAAATTAAGAAATACATATAAAAGTCTTCTTCCATACCTCATCCCACCCCTCTTTCCACATCCCACATGCAAAACTCCTATTAGGTTTTGCATGTAAACTTTCAGTTTCTTTATGTACATGCAAACAAAAATTAATACATAGGCTTATTTTCCTCTTTGTTAGCACAAAAGATAGAATGCTATATACATTCTTCTTCACCTTGCTTTTTTTCCCACTTACTATGTATTTGAAAATTTTCCATATTAGCACAGAGAGTGCCTTCATTCTCTTTTATAACTGCATAGGATTCCATTACAAGGACGCACCATACTTATTCAATCACTCTCTGTTAATGAATATGTAGACCACTTCTGGACTTTTTAGTACAAGCAAAACTACAATGAATAACCTTGAACACATGCGCTTTTGAGCATGTATAAACATATACCTATCTAAAGAGAAATTCTAAGAAATGGGATTTCTTTTATAATTTTGTTCATTTGCCTTATTATTACTATTATTTACTTAGAGGCAGGTTTTCACTCTGTTGCCCAGGCTGGAGAGCAGTGGATCAATCATAGGTCATTGCAGACTCAAACTCCTAGATTCAATCAATCCTCCCACCTCAGCCTCCCAAAGTGCCAGGACTATAGGCATCAGCCATCACACCTAGACTTGTGCATTTGCATTTTTGATATGTATTGTCAAATTGCCCTCTACAGAGATTATACCAGTTTACTCACCCACAATCAAAGTTTAAGTGTCTCTTTTCCCTCAGCCTCTTCTCTACACTGTTATCCAATATTGGGTATGGACCTATTTGACAGATGTTTGAAATGCTTTCTCAATGTGAAGGGGTTTTTTTAGTGATTTTTTAATATACAGACAGGGTCTCACTATATTGCCCAGGCTGGCCATTAACTCCTGGGCTCAAGCTGTCCTCCTGCCTCAGTCTCCTAAGTACCTAGGTCTTTGGGAATTCACCACTGCACTCAGCTTCAATGTGGTTTGAATTTTTATTACTCTTTTTTTATGAATGAGGTAGTGAATCTTTTCTTATGGTTAATAGTCATTTGTATTTTTTTCTTTGTTAATTAATACTTTAAGCTCTTTCCCATATACGTAAATTTTTAAAACATGCATACTTATTGTTTATAGCCATGAACGTGCATGATGAAGGGAGGGAGGAAAACTCTAACCTCAGCTGAGAGGCTGCTGCTGGCAAGGACGGTAGGCAGGTGGGACAGGGCAGAGAGCAGAGACACAAAGGGATTATCTATGAGAGGGTAACATTTTATTTTAAAAAAAAAAAAAAAAAGCACATGAAGCAAGAAAAAAATTGAAAAAAAAAAAGGAAGGGAAGGAGGGAGGAAAAGAGAAGACAGGCTTTAAAATCAGTAAATCTGGGCCTGAATCTCAGCCAAAACACATGCTCTGTGGCCTTTCAAAGCTCTCATAACCTCTCATTCTCAATTTCCACATCTCTGGGATGTAGAGAATATAATAATGACTAAAGATAATCCATGTAAAACCATGATTAGCACATCATTGTTGCTCAACAGTCATATTACATTGTTAATATTAATTTGATTATTATTCAAATATATATGATACCTCAAGCCAAGAGAATGGTCTGGTGGCGTTTCCTGGCTCAACCACCTGTTTCCTGTTAGGTTTTCCCAGAGGGTAGCCTCTTCTTGGTGAAAGCACGCCAGCGGTTTCATCCTTTCTTGACTATTTTCCAAATGTCCTCCCCAGAGCTGCCACTGTTGGTTTAACTGGCGTGACTGAGAGAAGCAAGGATGTGCTTGGGGTAGGGCTGGGATGAGGAGTTTCCTCTGTGTTGCAACCACTGTTTCCAAAAGCTGTGACCTCTGTTAGCTGTGAGATTTTGTCTTCCCGCTGTGGCTACATCTGGAGAACCACATCCATGTTTACCTGCAGCCTGAAACCCCCTGGCCTCAGAGGAAGCCAAAGCCTCTTTCCCCTAGTTTGCATTACCTTGACAGGCAGCAGGCTTCCCCACCACACCCCCCACCACCCTGCACCCTCCAGGCCTCTTGATGCCTTGTTTTTCCAAAGCCTCAGAGAAGCAGAAAAGTTATTTCTTTGCTGTAAACTCCTTTTATCAGAACAGAAATTATTAGAGCAGTGAACTTCGTACACATCTTCTTCCATCTTTGGATTATTTTCTCAGTTGAAACAGTTTCTATTCTTTTTCATTATTTTGATCCTAAAACATCAGAACACTAGAAAGGAGAGAAGAGAAAAAGGAAGAAAAAGAAACAAAGAGAATAGCCTAGGCAGAAAGAAGGAAAAAGAAACGGGGTTGAAACAGATAGTGTCCTGGCAGGGTCACTTCTTAGGCCCTGGAGAGAAGCTCCAGAAGTGATCTAAAGGCTTATGTCGGACACCACCAGGTCCTTGCTCAGTTGGCTGAACCTTTGATCTCGGAGACCAAATAGCTCCTTTGCAGCTAATGCCCAGCTATAAGTGAGAGAATGCTGGCTGAGCTTAAAGGAACACCCCCTCTGACAACAACTGGAAGCTTCACCAAACCAGACAAGACAATGTCCTTCAATTATAATTGCAGCGATGAACCAATAACCCATCAACCAAATCTTGAAAATTATGGAGAAAGGAAGTACTGTTATTCACGACAGGTGAAGATCACTTTATCCTTGGCAGAACTGATCTGAAGGGAAATTGTAAAACACATGAAATTTAACTTTCCTGGCATTTGTATTTCTTCTTTTAATAACCTGGATTACATGAAACCAGGAACCTCTTTCTGTAGCATCCCTCGCAGGTCTGCCAGCATTTACTGCCGGTGCCTCACCTCTTTCCTTCTTCCGATCCCTTTCATTGGCCTAGTTTTCTGGAGCTCTTTGCTCGGAGACAGATAACTGCCTGATCTGAGAAACGATTCCATTCTAAAACGAAAACGGATGCTGCAGTACGTAGAATAATAACCCCTCGAGATATATGCATGACCTAATCCCCAGTATCTTTGAATATGTTACAACATAGCAAAGGGGACTGTGTAAATAAGATTAAGGTTAAGTACCTTGAGATTATCCCGGAGGACCCAGGACAGCCTAATCCAATTATAGGAGGGCTTAAAAATGGGGACACTTTCCTTAAAAATGAGTCAGAGGTGAGAGGAAAGAAGAGTTTCTGACTTTGAAGATGGAAGAATTGGCCATGAGTCAAGGAATTTGGGTGGCCTGGAGAAGCTGGGAATGGCCTTCAGTGATAGCCAGCAAGGAAACAACATCTCAGTCCTACAACCAGAGAAAATGAATTTTGCCAACAACCTGAACGCGCAAGGAAAGAGATCCTCCCCTAAGCCTCAGTAAGGCACACCCCTGCTGA